AGCATGACATTTAATTAATATACACGAACTCGCAGACCAAAGTTAGTCGTTGCTTCTATAGTTTCTGTGCTTACACATATTTGGATGACACATTTCATAAAAAAACCCTAAAAACATTGAAGTTGCACAATAACGTATTTCCTAGGCTAGGGAACTCACTTACAACACCCTTGCGGATGGTATTACAGTTTTTTTTTTCCAAAATGAGTTTCTTCCGGGGAGCTAAACAAAAAATTACATATTCTAGATATGTGTTTACTCAATTTACGTTGATTAGGCTAAACTCATTTTCAAATCTCTGAGCCTGAAAACTGGCGATTAATGTAATAATTTAATTTTAAGAAAAATAAGACGAGCTCAGGCTCAAACCAAAATCTGGGTTAATGGATGTGGATAGCAAGGTTCATTGCCCGAGTCCACCTTAAGGCGAGGCATCGCTTCCCACTCCAAACCTAATTTCGTGATTTTCCTTATGACATTTATAAATACCTTTATACGAATCTTGTATGCTAACTGTTGTGCGAAAGAGTGTGTGCGTGTGTATGTGTTTGTGTGTGTGAATAGCGTATTCAGCCTTCGCTCGCTTAAAAGTTCACTTTTATTTATTAAAAGTGCTTATTACATTAACACTTGAGCGCGATTTAACACGATTTTCTCAAGTATTTTCGTACGACTTTCCTCGTTTGCCATTGCAAGCAAGCCAGTGCCAAGGAATGCCTGTGACTCTGTCCCCGCACCCCTGTCTGTTTTGTGGGCGAATATCTCTCAACTACCTCCACCCTTCTGCTACTACTTAAGTTGAAGTGGCGGAATCGTGAATGCCCGCCCCTGGTGCACTTGTAAGCATTTAGCTCACCTACACCTTCACCTGCACCTACACCTGCACCTGGAGCATTTTCATCTATTTCACTTGCACTGAAACCTTAGCTGCCTCATCATTTTTAGTCCTTTGCCGAGCAGAGCTCCTACTTGCTAGCGTGTTGCCACGACTGATGCTGCGGCTTATAAGCCGCCGTTAGCTATGCTTTTTTGTTGTCCTTGCTGGCTGTTAAACGCCTGACTGCGGGATGTACTTCGGCTTGACTGTCTGCCTTAGCCTGGCTCGGTATCATTGCCAACATTTGTACCTTGGCTCGGGACTAGGGTTGTGACTAGGACTCGGACTGAGGCTGAGGCTGCGGCTGAGCAAGGGCTGTGGCTGGGGCTTTGGTTTGTTTCTGCCCCTAATATTGGATTGCCTGTTGTCAACATGCTTGCCGATTTACTGGCATTTGTTGGTGTTGTTGACTTTAAGTGTGTTGATTTCATACAATTAACTTTTTGCCTGTTTGTTTTGTGTGTTTTCCTGGTGGCTTTCGCAATAATTTCCTGCTCGCCTGTTGCCTTTGGCCTTTGTCCTGTCGCCTGTCGTCTGTCGGGCTAAAGCGAAGACTTCTTGCCAATTGTCAGCAATGCCAAAAAGTCACTCACATTATTTGACAGCACCAGGGTGAAGAAAACATGACATTTAACAACAAAATTGTTTATTCTGCGTTATTCCTATGTGTTCATATGGATTCGTAGACAGGTCTAACAGACGGGCTGATTTACCTCTGTAGGCTGGTTGGTTGAGTATAAAGTTGGTATATCAAAATCCAATTTTGATCGAGAAGCTCCAATCTTTGAAGATCTCCGATGAAGTCTATGTACCCAACTTACTGTCCCCAAGCTGAAAATCGATATTTATCGATATCAGGGCAAATATTTGAAGTACATTTTAGCCGCACTTGCGAAAGGAAGATCTTTGCCTGTTAAAGCATATAATCGTTTTTTATTAAAATATATTATTCTAAACTATTGGAAGGTTTCTTCACGAATTTCCCATACGGAGTTAGCGTTTATCTATAATTCTATGCATATATATATAAAACTGTTTGTCCAGGCTGACTGATTGGTTGACTTACTGAATAAGACGCTAAGGAAAACTCCACCCACAAGTGTGGAAAAATCGCTTAAAACGGTAGCTTAAAAAGTTTTTCGATTACCATCCAATCGGCTTCTTTTCAAAGATCTCAGTATACATTTATTTGTGATTTATTTTCAAACTTCTCTCTGGAAAATAAAACGCAAGGGCTTTATGTGCAAAAGTATATTTTTCGGCTTTAAGTTCATTTAATAAGATATACATTACACAAGAGTGTACAAGTATTTAAGGTACACAACATGGAAGTAAAGTGGGCGGAAGACTTTGATTGGAACTATTTTTGTCTTTTATCCGATCGACTTGGTTTTCAAGGTAACGCGGGTATATTTAAATTACCCTAAGGGTGAATAAAATTGGTCTAGTTTTGTTGAGCCCCTATAAGTCATCTTTTCACAACTTACGTTATAGTAGTATTCGAGCTTGAAAAACGTTTTAACATATATCAAAGCTGGTTGTTAGTCGGAATCCAAAAGCGTCATCAGCACACATGAGCCACTAAATAAATGTGTTGTGGGTGCGCTGAAGTGCTCATTAATTTTGTATATCACGCTGTGTACGAGTGCGGAAAAATGGCAGGCACAATATTCCGATACACACCCACACACCATACACACACGCACACACACTCGCACAACCTTTTGGTAAATGGGATGTTGAACTAAGACAAATACACAGATATAAATGATGACAAGTACTTGGTCGACGTTCCTGGCGCTTCAACGTCGAATCTGTGTGAAATCGGTTTGCAAGGGGTTAATAACAGCGGCAGCAGCTGCACTATCAGAAACAGGCCCACGGCACCTGCGTAAATATTCAGCAGGCCCGAGTCGACGCTCAATTTTGAGCTTGGCAGGCAGCCAGGCGGCCAGGCGGCCAGGCAGGCAGCACAGCATCTATCTGCCACATAGCTGCGCTGAGCGTTATTCCACTGAAGCACTGTCTGCATAGAAGTCAGTCAGTCAGCCCCTGAAATGGAGCAGGTATTTCAATTGGAATATTTTTGTAGCTCCTATAGCTCTCGCTTGTTAATGCAGCATCGTTTAAAGGTTGCTGATTTTGCAGTCTGACTGCTCTCTTACCTTCTGCTTGCTGCTTGTTGCTTGTTGCTTGTTGTTGGTATTTAAAGTAAAACATGCTACGGGGAATATTATAACAGTCAACAGGGGGCTATTTAAATGTCAAATAAACCCCTTAAGGACATATACATATTAGATGTCCGGCTTGTATTTATACTTTTTTATTTTTTAACAAGATAAAGTTTGTGTCCAACAGGAATTATGTGATATTATAGCCATTAATAAACGTGTGTATCTCTGCCAGCTGGTTAAGAGACAATCTGAAGGAGTACATATTTATTTTAAGAGCTCGGAAATATCTTTTGCAGTGACAAACATTAAACCACTCCCAAAGGGCTTAGGAATCACCAAAGTCCTAGTCCTAGCCTTAAGACTTCGACTGGAGAAACGCAGCTAATCGCAGCTTAAACAAAAAATATCAGAAAATTCGGCACGGCGAAGAATAAATACCCTTGCATTTTAAATCTTTTCTCATATTAAAGATATTTTATGTGGTACAGTTAAGAAAGCTTTAATTACAATAGATGTGTTCATACAGGAACTTAATATTCGATCGTTGGGAACAGACGGTTTGACGAAAGAGAATTCCGGTTAAGAATATATAAACTATAATGGGTGGAGAAGTTGCCTATATGCATTATAAATATCGTAACAATTATCACGTTATCCATGCAGCAAGTTTGCTGGAAAAGTCAACGATGTGGTTCCATGTAAACCTGGCGAATGCCGATTGCAATAATGAAAAACTGGCCGTATAATCATTGCCTGCCTGGTTCAAACTCAATAGAACAATCTATTTCGATTAGCCTGAGAACTTTAATTGAACGAACTAAGTTTTTGGTCAGTGCAGAAGTCAATTAGTTTTCGAATGTCATTGACTCATGAATTGGAGTGCTGCAGGGTGAAGCACAAGCGAGACGAGTACCAAATTTGGTTCCTTTCAACTTATTTTTAATGTTCTTAAACATTTTCGCTTTAATTAAAATTTCAACATGCTTCGTGTGCAGACATACACATATGTATAAGTCGGAGCCAGGCCCGCATAAATTAACTTTGCGTAGGTGACATCCCTCCCATCCTAATACCGTAGTAAACGTTGCTGTAAGTACCTTATCTTAATGCGCGCCATATCTACCCTAATGCAGATAATGGGACAGGCCGCTGTTTAAAGTCTAACAACCCTTTTTATATGCAAATTGTTGCGCCACGCGCCACGCCCCGACGCCCCGATGCTGCGACGCCTTCGCAGAGGCGGCTGACTGTCAACAGACTGACTGGCTGGCTGACTGACTGCCTGCCAGCCAAGTTGCGCACACAACTTGACATTTTTTGTACATATTTCGCAGCAGAGGTGCGCTATTTTTTTCTATTTTTTTAATTTCCCCCATTTAAACATGCTGTGAAAAGGAAAAGCAATGGATGTATGTGTGTGTGTGTGTGTGTGTGTGTGTGCGAATACCTGCGGAAGTCGCTGGCATGGGCGGCGGCTCCCCTAAGGTTTTTCCAACGATGCGGTCTTTAGTATGTGTGCGCAATGTTCCAATGCTTTACATCTACTGCTTTTTGTCTGCGTGTTCACGTCGGCATTTATTTATATATATATATATAAAGTGTGTGTGAGTGTGTGTGAAAAACTTTACAATAATTTGCAATTTAAATAGTTTTAATTAACTTTTACTAATTTGTCGACGCTCAACTTGCTCAGCTTGGCAAACTAATTTTAAAGTGATTTATTATTTAAACAGCTTGATGATTGACAGCGCCCAAAATGGGGCCGCTAAATTGCCTGCGGCCTAATTATGTGTGTTTAGCGCACTGTGGAGGGAAAATTCTGCGGAAGTGGCTTAAAAAGGTGCTCGAAGGGCTATCTAACAAGTGCGAGTGCTTTCTAGCCGAAAAAGCCCGACTAGAAGACATTCTGTATCTGAGGAAAGTGTGTGGTCAAGTTATCCAACTACATATTATCCTAGTCTAAATTATGTATTTATCGACTTCACATCAACCTAAATATGCAAGCTCTTCAAATCTGTAAGATCGGTAAGACAAGATTTACCTCGGCAACAACGTAGCCTAGGCCAATATCTGGCAATCGTTGTTGGTCCAAAAAATGGTCGCCTTACAACCGCCAGATCCATAGATAAAAGTGTGATTGTATCGTCGTATGAAGAAAAGGCCCATTCCAAGCAAGATCGACATTGTTACAACAAAAACGCCAGCGCCTATTTCTTCGCATCTCATAAAATGAAAACTGAGCACGCGGTCAGTTAGGGGGCCAACAGAATTAACATTGTTGCGTATACGCACCGTCGTCCCTTCGTCATTAGGTCAAAGTTGCAGCGTCCAATCAAATGGCCACAGTCTCGGCATTTTGATTTGGCCAGCTCCTGGCGCGTTTCGAAATATATTTTTTGTTTATACTTGTTGATTATTTGCGTAATACTCCTACACGTTCGCTCCACGATGACATGAACTGGGGAGGGCTTCTTTGAGCAGCCAGGTTGACCTGAGCTGGTCATATTCAATCTATTCAGAGAATGGTATTTACGACAACTTATAATGAGTTGCTACTGGAATTTTCTTACGTGTGGTTTATTTATTTGACAGAGGAATATGTTTGACATGTTGCCTGCTGTGATCGGGCGTTACAGCTCTTTAATTGACACTCAAACTTCATACACAAAGCAATACACATAGTTATTTATTGTAAATGTGTGCCAATAAACCAAAAGTTAACTGTCCTCTTTGAAGGGCCGAGGATTTAATACCCTTACCAAAGTAGATGTGATTATGTAAAGCCTTGACTTTTCTTCAATTTTTTCATTCTGTGGGAACTACAAGTTATATTGCTCCGATAATATTGAGACTGTGCTAGGCTCGAAACTGCTGTATTTGGACGTATAGGAAATAAAGCACATTAAAACTCGTGAATTGAATGCCGAGTCGATTAAGCTAAGTCCGTCTGTCTATATTGTCTATATTCTATCCGACCTAGTCTTAGTTTTCAATCTATCATCCCGAGCTTTTGCTTAGGTCCGTCCCCTTGTGCTTGAACCGCTCGGATTGGACCTCTTTTTTTCAAAGCTTATAAGCAAAATCGGCTGAAGTTCTCTTTTGTATGGAAAGCTGCATTGTTTTAGATATATTACCTAGCAGGGTATTTAATATTTTGTGTGTCAAAGATAGCTGCTATTTAGTGTTATTCATTTTGTGGTTTTATGAGTACATTGCGCAAACAAATAATGGCAAAAGTGACAGTAATCAGGACTCTTAATGAGTTAAGCGCATTTCAAACCATTATATAGGTAGTTTAATCCCTATTTACGATTGGATCGTAGCTGATTTCAATTAAAGTGGCGCCGCGCCGATTCGATGCGATGCCAGATGACCAATCCAATGGCATTAATTTTCAATCAAAATCCGCACTGCAAAAAGTAATTAACAACATATTACGAAAATGAGGCAAACAACAGCCGCGCCGCATACGATACACTTAGAGCTAATTACATTTGCCGTGGCTCCGAAATGATGGCCCGCAATAAAAGCAAAAGCCACAAAGACAAGGCAGCATTCACATCCTTAAAGTATTTGGGGGAAAAAGTTGTGGTTACCATTAATGAAAACGAGCTGCGTTAAATTAAATATATCAAATAAATTAAAAGTGGCGAACATACAATTGAAAGCCACATAATTGATTTACCAATAAATTTCCTCAAGCCTGGCCCCTAATGAAAAGTCGGCAAAACGACCAAAAAGGGAGGCCAGAGTCTGTAATTTGTAATTGGCCAACTGCAGTCAGCAAAATAATTGACGCCACAGAAAAAAGCATTCGACTCTCGTTCTCTTTTACCAATACCCCCGCCAAATAGACGTACACTCGCCCTTCCCACAAACCGCCGGCAAAGTAAAAGCGCCGGATTCGAGCCACACAATTTTTAGCAAGTGATGCGAAACTAATGCGCCCAAAAGTAGTCTATGGAAAAACGGCAGCCGTTGTTTGTGTTTTGTGCAGCTGGTTTTGTTGTATCTGAAGCCAACTCTTTGACTGCCTGTGGCGCTGACAACAGCTGCCCACCAAATGCAAGCGCAAATTGCAATGAATTAAAAAGTCAGAAATTAGATGCCTCGCCCTCGGACAGTGCGCCGCGCATTCCGAATAGAAATACGGCTCGAAATATTTAAGTTCCTCTGCCTGGCCAAAGCTGTTGCGAGTCGCTTATTAAAGCTGTGAATTCTACAGAGGGAATAACAAATGTACATAAGAAATAATTACAAATGTATTTATTTGTTCGCTTAACTGCGAAATGAAGACTCATTGACAGCAAAAGTGCCTTTCAATATAGAATATTTAACTAATGGTAACGCTGTTATAAGGCCTTGACTTCAAGACCGTTTCAGCCCGGAGTTCAAATTTATTTTCCAGTATAAATTGATTCTTAAAAAAAAATAGTTGCTCAACATCATCTGATCTGAAACCCGAACCAGGTTTTTAGCTCTTTTCATCTTCGAAATCAAGTTATTTAAGTATAATCACATTTTCAACGGTTTCGGAATATAAAAACCTTCAAAGGGGACACCAAAACCGTAAGAGAGAGGAAGCTTCACTGTAGTTATTTTATGTGATGGATGTGCACGGTACGAGTATAAAAAAATCGAGATAAGAGCCGATCCGATAAGAATTAAACGAACATGTGATATGTGAACATGTGTGTGTATGTATGTATGTATGTATGTATGTATGTATGTATGTATTTATGTATGTATGTATGTATGTATGTATGTATGTATATATGTATGTATTTATGTATGTATTTATGTATGTATGTATGTATGTATGAATGTATATATGTGTGTATGTTTATGTACATATGTGTACATGTTTATGTGTATGTATGTATTTAATTATGTATGTATGCAAATTAAAAAAAACGTATTTTTAACTAATGCCCTACTACTCGATTCTCATGAATTCAAGTAAGTCTTATAGTCTTCACTTCAAGAGGAGTGAGCGGCTTTAACGCTTCAACTAAGGAGAATGCGGCATCAACTATGGAGGAAACGGCTACTTAAGCAAAAGAGCGGTTTTAATATTGGAGTCGACGGCAACTTAAGTAAAAGAGGAGACGGCGGCTTCAACTATGGAGGAGGCGGAGGTGGTTTTAATATTGGAAGAGACGGCAACTTAAGCAAATAAAGAGAACTCTTAAACAATGAAGGGGACAGTGTCTATGGGTTTGGCAGAGGCTATTGAAAATACTGGTACGTATTATTAACATAATTATGTCTTATTATATTTCAAATAAAAGTAACAATTACTACAATCGTATGTATGCATGTTGGTTTGTATGTATTTGAATACATACATGTATTTATGTATTTAAATGTGTGTATATTAAGCAGAGCTGAAAATCAGCTAGCAAAGTATTTGTTAATATTTTTTAAGAACACGATTCTCACTTATTTTAGTAATTATCAAGCTGCGTTTTTAAGCTAATCAACATTATCTTTGCTTTTCTGTTTTTTCAGTAATGTGTTTATATAAATCTCCGTTTCCCGCTTATTGAGAGATGTGATAAAATAATCATGCGTAAATACACACGCACAGGTGAGTACGTAATTACAATTACATATTTATCTCTATACATAAAACTGTTTGTGCTGACTGATTGATTTTTGAACTAATGTTCAAATTCATTTAAGGGGTGTTTCATTCATTACAATTTTGAAAATAAGACAAAATAATCTTGGCTAGGGATATGGAAAATCAGCTTCACGTACCAAAAATTAAAGCAGGGAGTTGGTTCGAACTGTAAGCTTAACTTTGCACCCTGCTTGGAGGTTATACCTATTCCGAGCTGTGATTAACTAGTTGGTCTGGTTATGCGAACACTGGCATAATCATGCGGCCCCTTGCATTGACGACATTGCATTGCGGATTACTTCACATGAATCATCATTATCATCATCATTTGCAACAGACGCAATAACAATTAATTGTACCCACATGCAACAGGAACAGAGGAATGGGAAAAACTTAAATAATCACATTCACACATCCTCGGCCGGGGACAATTGAAACTTTTGCCAACAGCCGTCGACAGCCCGAACTCATTCACATTTGAGGACACGACTTTCCTTTTGCCGGCCGGCATGACATCGGCCAAATTATGTGTTGGCAGACAATGCGAACGACTCTGCTGACTTTACCCGGGCTACATGCACACTTACAAAGAGACATATGTATGTGAATGTGTGTGTGTGTGCGTGCATTAGTATGTGTATTTTTGTGGAGTACTTAAGCCTTCGGCAGGAGTGATATACGTAGTTGACCGAGAAATAGCTTGTGGTCGTTTTCATGCCACCCACATTCGATCCATTTTTTTCTTGTCATTTTGTCATGCGTTTCATTCATTTGGACAAAGCAGATGCCATGTCAGCCCCAACTGATGTGGGTTCTCGTATCCATTGGATTTTGTTCTTTGCTCGCATTGCTTGCGGCTTGACCGACCGATATCTGAGAGTAAATGCAACAGCATCCGGATTGTTAGTGGTGGGGGCAGCTGCCGTGCTCGGACTCATTATTGACATTTTCGTAGTGCGAGTGCCCCAGTAAGTAGTTCGCCTTTGTTGTGGTTCATTCAGTTGCATATACCAGTTCCACGTTCCACCAATGTCATCGTCACAGTTTCTCTGTCTCTGAGCCTCGGTTGCCGCAGTTGCATTCTTCAACGATTTCTTTCAGCAACGTGACGGACATCATACTTTTACTTTGTATTGAAAACTTATCACGCGCGAAAGTTGGCCAAGAGAAGAACTACTTTTATGAACTGGCTGCAACAACCCAACAAGCCATTTACACAGCATAAGCTGTAAGCACATAATCGAGCCAAGTCAATCTGATTGTGGGAATGCTTTTGGCTCTTTAAATACAGCTTAACAATTTCGTATAAAATCCAAAGATTGGGCTCACTTACAGTCCGGCTTCCCAGTGTTGTGTCGTTTTTTAAATCTTCTTAAAATTGCTCGCTGGGTAAGCATTGGGCTTTTGTTCGAGCGTTTACTGCAGCTCTGCAGCTACTTGTTGTCTTTGTGTGTGTGCATCCTTTGTCCTTATTGCTATTGTTTAATGGTCACATTAAAACAGCCCCATTGTCGTCGTTTTCGTTGTCGTCGCTGTCGCTGTAGCCGATGCAGTCTTTTGACCACACCCTTTGCACCATTTTTTCTATCGCATTTATTTACAATATTTCAGACTGTGTCTGGGGATCGCGCTCAAAAGTATGCAATAAAATGTGGGCTCGTGTCATTGGACGTTTTAGTGGCTTTTTGGTGCACTCCTGCTCACATGTGCTCACTCGCAATGCATTTGCTCCCTCTACGATGTATATGGCCAGAAGCATATGTGTGTGTGTGTGTGTGTGTGTTGTGTGTGACCCGCAATCGCCTTAAAAGGGGCGATGAGGGCATTTTCTGACATACTCAGTATTGGCTTATTCGCAGAGCCTCCTTCAAGAAGCCACAATATAGACCCTGTGCAAGGTATGTGGATTATTATGTGTGCTTAACATACAAACTGCTATGTGCTTTGAGAATGTAAGCTTCAGTCTATTAAGCGCTTCTCAATGTGTGGTTTAGTGGGTGCAATGGACGTGATTGAGGACTTAATTGAATAAACCTTACGTTCGCTTCCCAAATCAAACCCAATAAATTGCCTTCAGGTGCGGGTAGGCTTATTTATTTATTTTAAATTGTGAGTGAAACTAGATGAAATATGTCATCAATCGGCGATTCACTTGAAAGATCTGAAGCTAACCACGCTTAAAACTAGAACTCCTTACAAATATTGTTTATTAAGGTGTTTAAATTGCTTAGATCGACGCATACCGATAAGCATATTACAGACGGAATGGCTGTTTATTCCGCTGATGAATATATTTACTGTATAACAATAAAAAATTACAAACTAAATAGTCCTATTATATTCGAGTTTTGGGTTTTTTTTTAGCGCTTGATTTTAATAATTACAATTGGGCTTAGTACTCTTTACCATTTTACTTGATGTTTTCAATGTGTACAAATCACGCACTTTCCGGAAATAACATTAAAATAATACATTAACTTCACCAAACGTTGCGTCGCCCACGCGATTGTAAGAACGAAAAACAAAATTATTAATAACAAGAGCTATTGACTTGGCACGTCGCATATTGAATACTCTTGGTTAAGATTTTCGATATATATATAACCTTTCACACAATTGTGTGTTTCTACAGAACTTAAATGATATATTGAATTGATGCTAATTAGGGTTTTCTAAAGTTTTATGAGCATAATAGAGCTAACTTACATCTGAATTTCAAAATATTGTTCTCATATCAGCTGTACCTAGAGTTTTCCGTTCCGTCTGTAACCTTTTAATACCCTTTGACAGGGCTGGGTTATAACCAAAGGGAGAAAAGTGCGTTAGGCACAAGGAATTGCGGGTCTGTCGTGCAGACACTGAGCGCAAATGGACTCAATCGTCAGCCAAGACTGCCTTGTACATATCACAATCTCTGTTTGCAAATATAACGTAATAAAAACATATTTCCACAAGCATTTGGCCTAATTGTTAGACGAACAAGCCGAAGTGTTCTAATCTAAAGTGCTCGATTAGAAGATACCCTGTACCCAACTGCGAGCTGTCGTAACATGCATTCAACTTTCACTCCATACTTTCTAAATTAGAAGAGTCTAGTCTCAAAGATCAACATGCTCAGAAATGTGGACGAATATGGCTAGAACATAAAGAAGTTTGATGTTGACAATGACAATGAATTTAAATATTTAATGGGCTCCGAGATGCCGAGATGTTCTGCTTGTAACAGGCATTCGTTCAACTCGTTTTCAACCTTTACGGGGTACGAAAATACCCACCAACAGTTTTTCTTCAATCAGTTCTGGTCGAATAGCGTGACCCAAAACAGAAATTGGAGGACAAAGGTGTGGACTGCACGATGAGACTACCCAAGAAGTTGCAAGTGGTGGTGAGAGGTACGCAGCAGCAAGGGGCAAGGAGGCACATGACACGGCGAAAGGTGCCGTCGCCGCTGACGTATCCCACGACGCCCGACGACAACCCAAGTACACGAGTATACAACAACGACAAAACGAGCACGATAGCCTTAAGACCAAAACATTGTGATCAGAAATCTTTGACTTCAGTCAAATTTATATCACATAGACAGACTCTTTACCGAATAATGCTTTTTACTATAACAAGTCTGATCTATGTTCCAAAAAGTAAAAGGGTTAAAATTTCACCCGCAAGTGTGGAAAAACGGCGGAAAACGCTTGTTGAAATATTTTGGCCTACAATCGGATCAGTTTCAAACTTATTTTTCAAAAATCTTGCCCAATAATCATTAAAGATGTGATTTGCATTTCTCAGCATGGAAAATGCGGCTCAGAAGTTGCATGAACGACAGTTGATTAAAATTGGGGTAAACCGAGTGTCCTTTTTTTGTGTACGTTGAACCACAGTGCGTCTAAGCCATTAAGTAACAAGTGCTAACGTTTGTGATACCTCAAACTGAGCTCGTGCACTCTGCTCGTAATGTCGCCGAGGAGGTAAAACCTCCCGCTAGATTGCTCCAGGCAGGTGGCTGGGCGTGAGGGAGGAAGTCGCACAGCAAAATGGTTTAGTGAATGTGGCGAATGGCACAATGCCCGCCATTGGTCCGGGTGACTTATAAGCAGGGCACAATTAGGCGGGCGGGCGGTAGCGGTGGTATGACGGTGCCGGAGAAGTCGCGTGGCAGCATTAGCCCATAAGTCAGGCGCTTGCAGCAAAGGCAAAGGCAGAGGCAGAGGCAGAGCAATACAACAACAACTGGCGTAATTCAATGCCCGCGACGGCGACGACGTCGCCACGAGGAGCCCGAGTCGCTCTCTATGAAAATTGGCTCCGTGGACGACTTTAGAGTGGACAGGCACATGAAACACAATTCAAAAACACTTTGACCGGCAAAGTTGCCAGACGGAATTTCTTCTGCATTGTGCACAACACGGCTTGTTGCCAAAGGAAGCCCAGCTCGAAAGTTGCCCAGTTTGTTGTGCCAACTTTCTTCGCTAGATATTTTAATAAACTTTTCCCTGCCCGAGTTCATTAAATTCGATTCAAGTAAATGTGTGTGCGTGCCGCCCCCCGATTACCCCAAATAGGTCGAAACAATTGCGCCTGATTGATAGGCAATTAGTGGAAGTGGAACGCCACGGAAGCTGCGGCATCTGAAGAGGCAACAACTGTTTGCACATTAGCAATCAACGTCCCAGTGGCAGGCAACCAAAGTGTCATTAACCTAATTGGCGCAAAAAAGTGCAGAGGACGACGAACGACCCCAGCCATAAATAAAACGAGAATGAAAGGAAAGAAGTGCAACGTGTTGCAATAAAAACAATTTACATAAACCAGGTAAGCCAAAAGTAAAAAAAAAAACACAACAGAAGCATTCACAGACTGCCGACGACCGAGCCCATCCACCCACCGCAGCCCTTTGCCCAAACAAAAAACCTCGCAATGGTAAATTCCAATGCAGTTGAAATAGTTGCAGCGACTGTGGCCCAGACACAACAGACACACACATTAAGCCCTGAAGTCCGGACCGGGCACCGTACAACGCCTCTGGTCAGCTCCAGAACATATGCGCAAATATAGTTGCATAGATATATGTAGTTATGTGTTCAGCCCCCCCCCCCAAAAAAAAAAGTCCACAAAAAGACCGCTTGCCAGCTGGCCTGTAATTTCGGTCAAAGTGAAGTGGACTAGCAGCCAGTTCTAAGGCCTTGCCACAGGCGCTGTCCATGCTGGAGAGACTTAAAGTGCGGATGCATGAAACAAGACAAATAGTGCGCGGTATTTCGAGGCAAGTGGCGACGCCAAAGCCCAGCTCGGACGGAGAAGTGGGCTCCTTACACTGTTTCTCTGTTTGCAGACAAAGGAACTGTGAAGTTGTTGGTCCGACAGTTGTTGAGTTGCGTCTGGAGTGGATCTCAAGAGCCATCGGCAGTGGACATGCCGATAATGGCAAGTTTTCCAGCTGCTGAAAGTAAAAAGTAGCTCAAAAGGCGAGATTTGTGTCCGTCCGCAAAACTTGTTGACTGACGGTACACTATGCATTAATAGAGATTTAATTTCCAAAAATATTTTTCTAGCTTCCCTCATTTAGCTTTCTCTTCTTCATTTTTAGGTGCTTCTACATATATGTGTAGCTCAATCCTGCGTGGGTGTACAATAACATGAAAATGTCAGTTGCAACCTGAACCTAACAGGACACGACACTCAGGTCGACTACGGGCAATCAAAAAGTTATACGTGAAATAATCCACCAGCAGCAGCAGCAGCAGCTCCTAAGAACGCTTTGAGTCGACGCGACATCGACGCTGCTCTAGCGACTTTTGACCACAACAAAGCAGTCACGCAAGGCACCAGCACGCTGAGATTTGTGCCACAACAGAGAGAGAGAAAGAGTGAGTGAGTGAGAGAGAGATATAGATAGAGAGAGTGGGAGGGCAGGCGGTTAAGGGCTGACTTAAGAGAGCTTAACTACACGGACAATGTCCAACGAAGAGAACGACTACTTGGACCGTCCGGGCCCTGGTTCTGTTGCTGGGTCTGGGGCTGGGGCTGGGCCTGGTGCTGGTCATGGTGATGGTGATGGTGATGACGACGGCGGCGGCGGCGGCGGCCTCGCAGCTGTTAATGGCGAGCCCGTTCTCGGCGGCCAAACAATGCCACAAATTAGTTCGAACTCACAACTCGAGGGAAACGTTTCGCCGACATTCACTCAGACGACAACCCAGTTTGATGATAACGATAACCACATAAATAATAATCATAACAGCAGCACGGCGCGTCTGGGCCAGAGCAACAGCCACAACCACGACAGCAACTGCAACAGCCCCACTAAGAGTCCCACAAACCGACGCGCCGGCAGCTCAGCAAGCTTTCAGATACAGCATCATAATGCCCATTACGACGACGAGGATGATGACCTAGCAGCCGGCGACCTGCACGCCAATAGCGCTGCAGCTGCTGCGGCTGCGGCTGTTGCCGGAGGAGCTGCAGTCCGTTCAGCCGGCGGTGGCTCCTCGCACGTACCCGACTATTGGCAACAGCGCAACGGCGGAGCTGGGTCTGGTGCAGGTGGAGCACAGAGCGGGCATCAGAGTCGTGCGCTTAGTCCCAGCTATATGGAAAACATGAGCGAAAATTCGGAGCAACCGCCTGTTGTGCCGCTTGTCCGTTCCAAGTCGCGGCCAGAAATCTCCAGTGCCGCCGCCTCCCGTTACTCGAATCTGTCATACTGGAAGGCTCGTCGTGTTGTCTTCTATCGCAATGGCGACCCCTTCTTTCCGGGCGTCGAGCTACGCTATCGGCCCGGCCGAGATGTCACCTCGCTGGACAATCTGCTCGACAAGATCTCACCCAAAATGGATCTGCCGCGCGGTGCACGCTACGTCTTCTCCATGGACGGCGACCGGAAATACCATCTGGACGAACTGGAGGACGGCGCCTTCTATGTGGTCTCCTCATTCAAGGCCTTCAAGGTAAGTTTTTTTATTTTTCTATTTTATTATAACCTGCATTTGGTCCGCGTGTTTTGTTTTAATTTAATAATATTTTTTTTTGCTTTTACCTCGTTGCATTTTGAAATTTAAGTGTTGCTTTCCACGTCAACTTTAGTGCAAAATCAATAGAAATTTGAATATTTTGGTATAATTTTGCATACATATGCAAATAGAAATATACACACACATATATATATATATATACTCATATAAAACTATATACGCTGTTGGCTTTTGCGGTCAGCGTGTCCCATCCCACGGCTCCAGGCCCAACCACCAAATCAGGTCACTTGGCCTAAAAACCCAAGAAACTCTCACTTTCTTTTTTTTTTGTTTTGCTTCATTTTCTTTTTAATACACTTTTTTTTTGGTGCTGAGACACATTTTTGCATGCGAACACTTTCGTTTTCTCTGGCCTTTCTCAGTTCTCAGTACTGGGGGCTTGTTTTCGATTTTAGCGCACAACCACTCCATGTGTGTGTGTGTGTGTGTATGTGTGTGCATAGAAACTTACACAGGTATTGCTCTCTTACCCAAGTTCCTTGGCTGTTGGGCTATTTGTCGAACATTCGTGGGAGTTTAACTTTAACACGCCACACACGCAAAATATATTGGCGATTGGAGTGGCGGTTGGACAGAGGGGTTTCCTAAGAAATTAGGTCTTGCGTTTTATAGGCGTTTTCTAAGAGAGCGGTCCTTGTGGAAGAGTACTACAAAGAGTACTTAATAGCTAGAGCCTTTGATTTGCTTTACTAACTGCGTTCAGAGAAAAACAATACACTAAGAGAGCTTCAAAACTAGAACCACAAAGTACGGACATTTTAAAAGCAATTAACAACTTACAAATTAGAAATCGAAGATATTGAAAACGAATCATTTCAAAAAACAAAATTGAACATGATAGTTAAGCTGTCCGTATGCCGGTAATTCCGTAAGCTTATATGAAAGCGTCGATCTCAGAGACTATAAGAGACTTGGGCTTAACAATTTGAAGGTAGGTCCTCCTTTGCAAGATATAGCTCGTTTCTACGAGCTTAGATTATTGATTGACAATATCTTAGTGCTTATAAGGGCTGGACACAACAAATTGATTACCTATCCCCGTTTCCTTCTAAACGGAGTACATTTATTCTTGGAGGTATTCGTAGATCAAGTTCGTTTTAAATGATCGATAGCTCGTTTTCACGATAATTATCGATTTTTCAGCAAAATACTGCTTCTTATAAGAGCTAGACAGAAAATCTTCAAGATCCAGAAGAGTTAACATATTGGATATTTACCCCTGTACTCATCAGAAATAATTAATACTCGGGCGTATAGCCTTGAAGTTATTCAAGAATGGGCGTAATTCCATAGACATCTTGTATTTGTTGTAGCTGAATAAAATAAAACTCATGCCAAAATCATCAGTTTTTGGGAAAGATATCCCTCGAACAAAATATCTCCTCAACATATTTATATATACCATATAATAATGAATAAGGTAATGCGATTCAGGGCTGGCGTATTCCCTGTCTTCAGACAAACACCTTGTAACAAAATTATACTCCCCTCGAAAGGGCATAAAATTGCGGCCAGATTGGCCAAATTATGTTTAAAGAGCTATCATAAGCCATATACTTTAATGCGAGCCCACAACTGACTCTTGACGCAGTGGAACTGAGCAGGAAAGAAGTGAATCGCATCACGTCGAGGTGGATTTTCGATTTGCATGAAGCACAAATTGAAATTTTAGGCAATCATCGGACTGCACTTCCCTCACGTCTCCCAGTGCAGCCATTGAACGACTTTTTACATCCCTTTGGTAAAGTCTGAGCCAGTGCCGATAGGAATTCATGCATTCGTAATCGATAAAGACAATGGCCGTCCCGCATTCGCAACGTCTTCGATGTGCTCCTAATGCACTCAGCCGGGCAGGCGTGCTTCAAGCTCAGAGCTCAGAGCGTTCGGCCGAGACAAAGGCTCTCGTAAAAGCCAACCAAAAGCCACCTCCGTGCGCCGACCTCCCCACCCGCCCGGCCCGCAGAGGCAACCGCGTGCACTGCCCGTAGCTGGTAAACAAAAGCGCAGCAAGAGTCTTTTGCCAAATCAGAACTTATGGGAAAGGCGCCGGTCGGGCCGCCAGCGGCGCGGTTGCCGCATGGAGTTCGTCGTGCGGCTTGGCCGCACAAAAGGCAACAAAGAACAATACGGAACACGGGGAGCACGCGGAGCACGGAGCACGAACCATGCCCTGCAGTTGGCTAGAGTGCATAGAATGCATTGTATAGTTTCTTACAGTCATCCGTGGGTCTCTGAAGGCTCTCCGGGCGCTCTCTGGCGCGAAAAGGGCCAATTTGGAAAGTTGCGGCGTTTCACTTAGGGAAATTAAAAGTGTTTCCATGAAGAGGGCAAAGAGAGCGCCTAATCTTGGCGTACGAAAAGGCGTCAACTGCAGGCGCACCAAGCATGTGTAATAATATAAATTAATCGAGCACCAAATTCGATTCAACAGGAGCCGAGGCACACGGCACGCAATCGCCAGCCGGGTTGGGTTTAAGGCACACACTGTTTACCAAAGCATTTATGATAATTTATTCGTCATGGGGCGTGCGTGACCCGTGGGCGCACTGCAGCTGATGTGATTTTGGGTGCAGCAAATTGCATTCGCCTTGTTAAGTCATAAAAATAATTGGCCGCATGGAAAGCCAGCATGAGCAACAAGGCCAATCGCGAGTCGTGGGCGTGGAGCTGCCTTCTCCACAAGCCCAAAAAGTACGTACTAAGCTGTTTCATTTATGCGAATCGTTTCAGTGGGCCAAATGGCCAAATGGCCAATTAGCTGGTCTAGAGGGCAACTGCGTCAAGGCCATAAATAAATACGCTGACAAAATCTTCTAAGATTCAGATATTTAGAAGCTCTTTTAAATTTATTGGCCACCGCATCCAGGTGCAGCCAATTGTGAATGATAACCGACAAGGGCAGCAGCGGATCGCATGTGCGAAATTGCGGGCACTGAAAGGCTGCGTGTGTCTGGGTGTGCTGCGGTGCTTGGTGTGCCCGGTGCTGCGCCCTAAATTGGAAGAAAAATGGACACGAAGGGCTGTTGACTTTTAAGCCAGCCCCGAAAGAAATTAAGATTTTTGGCATAAACGTGCGCGGCAAGCTAAAAGCGAAACCTCTGCACCGCGAGTGCTGCACGCAAGGTCAGGCAGGCGGCAGGACCCCGGCGCATTGTAATTAACTGCACAACAAAAGCGCACGAGCGAGCGGACGAGCGGTCGAGATTTGACGTCAATTATTATTTTTTGTTCGTTGTTGTGGCCAAAGCAAAAGCCACTAAAGTTATGACCATCAAGCTGCTGTGACACATGAGCGAGATTTCCAACACAAACAGCAGAAGCCCCTGTCTGGGGGCCAAGAGGCGTTTGATGAATTTCGCAGCCATTTACGTGATGCATGCGCCCGAGATGTGGACACAAATTGCGCGTTTGCATGTGCTGGCAAGGACAATCTCATCTGATGCCATCTTCTGCCCTCCGCCTGGCGCTGATGTTATTGTTATGATAGAATGAATTGCTGATGATCGCCCTCCAAGCCGTCAGACGCTTGATGAATTCCTGACTGCCGCGTCAACAGAGCGTTGCATATCAAGCGAATTGATTCGATGCCCTTTCGGATTGTAGGTGTGGCACAACAATTTAATTGAAATCAAAGTGGACAGCTAATTGTAACACACTTTAACTCATGCTTTAAAAGGGCAACAATCGATATAGTGTACAATTCCTTGCACAATCCCATCATCATCCATACTTGGGCATAAATGCCGGCATACCCGCATACCTATATAATATATTTGTTAGCATGTGTAAGCTTGTAAACCTGGTGTGTGTGTGTGTGTGTGTGTGTGTGTGTGTGAGTGAAGGGCCTTAAGGCGCTTGCAATTATGTCTAAAGCCACACAAATGACGGCAGCAGGAGCCAAGCACTCCCAGGAAACGTTGCCTATGCAGGCTCAGGCTTAACGCCTATTAATATTACGCATACGCCACGTTGAGAACGCATCGGCTTGGCAAATGTGGCCAACGGGCAGCTTTTGTTGTTGTTGTTGTTGTTGTTGTAGTAGCTGCTGCATAATATCTAAGCGGATTTTGACCAGGTATTAATTGGCACTTTAATAAATTACTGGGCCGCCAATTACAAAGCAGTTTCGAATCATAATAGATAGGTTGAATGCAATTTAAAATGCCATTCGGGCATTTCAAATTTTGCGGTCAGCTGTAAATCCGTTGCTTTAATTGAAGCGCAGCAGGCGTTAAGCGACAAGCGTTGATGAAATAAATAATGCAGCGATTTATATGAAAATATGTAGGTGTTGAAATTAAAAACACACACACGAGAAAAAAGCAAACGCAACCGCCCAGACCAATAATAACAATTATTAAAAGCAATGGAACACAAATTGAAAATAATAAAGCCAACAACTCACTCACACCATCTCAGCTCAGCATCATAATAACAAATCGTCGAATTACAGTGGTCAAATCTCTGCTCACTGTAAGCAAATACTGCACATAACCAAGGTCTGCGAACAGGACATCAAGTAGCTTTTTCCGTGTCATGTATTTTTCCTTATATAAATACTTGAATAGAGCTTGAAGTCGATCCTGGGTAGAAATCAAAGCATCCATCCATTTTACTCCCGTCGATTAAACTTCAAAGTTCATTTTCATTCTTTTATAATATAAAGCTTCAAAAAGCTGCAAATTCAACTATCGCTCAAAGTGTGAAACACGTCTCAAATACATTTTCAAAGCTATTCTCGGTTATGAGTTTGAGCCCGAACAGCCTTATATATAGAGATTTGGAAGGTAGACCGAACGCAGCATTTTTTTATGTATCTCTTGGGCAGCATTCGGACATTAATGCACTGTCTGATTGGATTCGATTGTCGACCATTGTTAAACAGCCAACGGCCACCCACTCAATACGAGCTGTAC